CCAGAGTTTTTTAATGAGTAGCAAAGCTGCTGAAAAAATGGTATTTGTGAGAGAGACTGAAGTATTCAGATGACCAGATAGAATTTGTTGGCTGCTTCTAGTTGAAAAGAATGGAGAAATTGAACCTTCATTGTTTTAAACATCTCCTTGTGGAGGGACAAAAAACATTTTATCTACATATTTTTAAAGCGTACTATGACAAGAACTGTGGAATTCTGGTTATAAATATGAAGCTCAAGTTCATTGTATAACCCTGATTCAGCTCAGGTCTGTGTAAACCCAGAGCACTTTAGACATGAGTTCCCTGGGTGTCCCAGGAACTTCTCATCCAGCTGTATGGACAAGATAGTAATACTATGATCTGAATCAGTGGAAAGACTTTAGACAAGGTGAACTTAACCCCTAGCCCGCTTCACCACAAAGCTTTGATTAACTGGCACAGAAACTGTCATGGTGGGAATTTCAGCCCGTCTTGAAGCTTTTCCCCAGCAGCTCCAACTGTGCCTAGACCAATCCCTATGCTCAAAGGTGTTGATTAACATCGAGGGTGGAGAATCTGGTCATCCCTGAGGCTTCCCAAAGTGATTCTCCCGTAGAATTTGTAAACTTGGACATAGATAAGACATTTTAAATGTCCTTTAGTGGGTGCAGAAATGATCAGCTAGGACAGTATTTTGTATATGGTTAAGATAGGATATCTGTTCTATGTAGTTTCTATGTAGTAGGACCATAGGTCAGGTGGGTGTAAGAACTGAGTATAAAACAGAGGTTTGGAGAGTCACTCTGAACAGTTGAAGGTGCCATTACAAGGAACCTTGAAAGTCTCTCATCAGCATCCAGGCAATGACCACTATTCTGTTTAGGATGTTTGCTTCCCCAATGAATATGTAACAATCCCAGTGGTTTAAGATTCTTTTTAAGATTGTGACTGTGAGTATTTGATAGTTGGTCATTTACAAAGCAACTAAATAAATAGGGAAAAAATAGGTTAAAAGAGTTAAATAGCTGTAGACAAGGTTTTTAGTGATAGATAAATGCATTTTCTTTCATTAGTGTCAACCCCTTTCCAACAAACAACTGCAGAACCTGAAACAAAACAAAATCCCAACTGAACAGGATCTCAGGATCTTTTTTTTTTTTTAATTAGGTTGTAGTTTCTCACCTCCTGTTCTTGTTGCTGCAGTTTGTGCTGGCAAATTATAAATTCCCCTTTCTTCCTCCCATGCTTTCAGGTCTGTCCATTAAGTATCTGAGTTTAAAACAGAAGAAATTCTATATGCATAGCTGGATGCATTACCATAGGTTTTGTGCTTTTATGTCCAGTGTCATTCTGTTCACTATGAGTAAGTAAGTAGCTACATGCACACTGCTATTTTTAAAAGGTCAAGGGATAAGGTCAAGGCCTTCTTCCAGGGAGCGATCTATTCAGAAGCTGGGTTTTCATAAACATCACTCTCTTCTAGCCCTTGTGCCTCACCATAATGCATCCTAACCATGGTAATTGTAGCACTTGAGAAAATATCCTACAGATGTGACCCATTCCACTGTGAGTTTGTTCTACTCATCTAGCATACTATATTTATTAAAGTTGTATAATATAATATAACCAGCTGTTGATTTTATTATATTTAGCTATATTGAGCACTGGTGAGGCAGAATCCATTCTGTGGGGTGCAGCAGAGGAAATGTGAGAAGGAAGCAGCTGAGTTTTCATAGCTACCTGTGAAAATATTCAACCTAACTTCTCTGTGTTCCAACACTTTGACTTCCCAATGTTAATAATGCTAGGCAAGGTGACTGCTTGGGCTGTGCTGACTGTTGGTTTGTACTGACAACAGAGACAAATCTGTCTTCTCCTGCAGGACTTCTTTTACTAGCCTTTGTTGCCAGGGTCATCTATTTCAGGAGACAGGGAACTGACAGTAGGATACTGGGCAAATGGGGGCTTTAGTCTGACCTAGTTGTGTTAGTCTTAGGGGTTCAGGAATTATTAGGAGAAAAAGCACCTTATCAAATACAGCAAACCTTTCAGTCCCACAGAATCAGCCAACAGATACAAGCCATATAGCCTTTTCAGCCCAAGGAAAAGTCCTCTGGTACTTTTATGAATAAGATTCGGGGGTTTGACACAGCTTAAATTGCTTAAAAACCATGTAAGCACAGGAGAGGAAGACATCATTAAAATAGCAAATATGAAGAGAAAGAAGCCTCTTCAACCTTCAAAATAAGCCTTCCAACTAACATGGTCCTCAGGCAGCAAAAGGACCACAACTTTTCATCCATATTTCACTCTGCTCTTGCCTTAATATAATGTAGCTCACGGTCAAAGTCAGCTCACCTTCTAAGTATTTCTTTTGTCCCTTGCTTGTTTTTAATTTGTTTCTTACTCAGAAAGCTGCTGAGAATAAGTTGAGCAAACAACTTGTGGTTTTACATTGAGTAATTAAAGCTGCTGCCCCACTATTGTTTGCGCACAATATTTCTCATGTCCTGTGTTGTACTATGAGGAAGAATTGCTTTCTTGTTTGCACTTCCTACCCCAGACCTAGCTGCATACCAGTGACTGAAATTATCTGTGCATAGTTTTCTATTTACATTTATGCCCATTAAAACCTATGAAAAGCTTGAACAATACTAAGTGTAGACTATAATCAACATGTAAAGTTTGTCATGTGTCCTGGGATCTTTGGATGAAAGGCTGTCTATATGCCTTATTGTTATTAGTTTTTCCTGCATCATTTGTCAAGATAAATACATGGCTGTTGTTTAGTACAATGTACTGGAAATTCTGACTTGCAAAGTAATCTGAAACATAGAACCATATAAAAACATTTTATGCATCTAGCATTGATGATTTAATTTCTGCTCTTGAGAAAAAGTCGAAAAGGAAAGTTAACAATACATGCACGCAAGTTAAAAGAACACATGCAATGAATTAAAAATCATTGCCTTCAGTTAGACACCGATTGACACTATGGAGTAGTGTCTATACTAGGGAATTAAATTAGAATAACACAGTCAACACAAAAAGCTTCTATTATACTAATAAAAATAAAAGCATAGGAACTTTCAGAATGCAAAGGCAGATTCAGTCATAAAAAATATTGTAGAAATCTAATTCTGGTACTTTCCATAGAGCTGAGCATGTAATATCTGCTCACAGATAAAGATACCCTTGAGGAGGAAAAGCAGGAGGAAGTGCTTTATGTTTATGCATTGGGTTGTCTCTGCAGAAGAAAACTGAAGAAGTTATGAGATTGGTTAAATTTAAGTTGTGGTTGGGAATTATGCACAGATCTGAAATGAAAGTTGATGATTCAGGGACCTTCTGCTAGCAGAGATGATATTGTAAATAATTTTATATATTTCACTTTACTTGGAAAACTCACGTAGTAATAAGTTGCACTCTCTTGTGCAGTGTTAAGCCATTTAGAGGAGGTCCATATGAGATATTGTGGAAGGAAACCTGGAAAACATTATTGTGAGGAATGGGACTTCAGGCTCTATGAAATCAAGTGGTTTCGCTTTCTTGGAATTTCTGTCAACTGTGTGCTGTATTCATCACTCTGTTTCCAGGTGAAAAAAGTATGAAGAAGCTGGGAAACAGCTCTTCCTTCAAGTCTTGCCCCTCTCAACCACCGCAGAGCTTCTCCACTCTTTTGCTAGCCTTCATTCTTGTCACACAAGGTGAGCAGCTTGGGCAGTTCCAGTCCAGTGTGAACTGATCCTGGAGCCTAGTAATAGCTAGTGAAAACAAAGCCCCACAAACAAAAGGTGACCCCTTGTACATTGCCAATCACAACCAATCACTATGGCCAGGTAGCTGGTCTCTTCTTGGCCTGCTCTCCACAATGGATGAATTGGATGAATATCTGCTGTCTCTGTGTCAAGGCATTTGTTCTGAACATAGATCCTATCATGAAGCAGTAAGCACTACTTGGAGAGCTGCCTGTTTGCCCTTGGATAGTGTTTTCTGGTCACACTGTTTGGGGAGAATTCACAGAACATCTGTCAAGTCTTTGCTGGTTTTTGTAAGCCTGGGAACATTTACTGTCAGTGCTCATGACCGAACACTGGAATTAGCACACCAGGCCCACATTAATACTGTACCTGATCTTAGGGTTCACTGCTTAATTTCTGCTGCTCCCCCAACTCTCTCAGTAGTTTAATTTTTCATAAATGTTCTGACTGCTGGGGTCAGCAGATAGACTCACAATTGTGCAGACTCTGTTTCTCTTTTTAAACAAATGTTGGCCCTTAACTCTAAGCAATACCCTTGAGAGCCAGATTTGTCAATATAAATCTTTAGAATGCCATGGGGTTGAAAGTTCAGGAAACTACAAGAAGATCTTTTGTGTGTGTGTTTCTAAGAGAAGGATTTTGCCTGCAAAATTGAACAAGTAAGAGAACATGAAAACTAGAAAAGAGGAAATTTGTCTCTAGTTAAAACTAAAGAAGAGCCTTCCTCCAAGTAGTCTCACAGCAAACGTGTGAAGCCCTATTCCCAAGGACAGAAGCTCACTAGTTAACCTCATCAAGATACTCCAGATCTAACCATCTGCCCCAATGATTCTCATACTCCCATAACTTCAATGTTATCAGAAATATATTACTTCAGTGTAAATCTTGTTATCTGGGTCTTTATAAATCCATGGAATGGACAGTAAATTTTGCCAGTGACTGCTCTGAATTAACTTTAAATATTTGATACCAAAGTGTCTACTGTAACATAGCTGTCTAGGTCACTGCTGAGTCAATAAGGAGAATCGCCTATATAAGAAGACTTGTCTTAAAACAGGTGCCTCAGATCAGGAAGGATGATCCTCAAAGTGCAAGTGTGCCTTCAGTGAGCATACAGGCATCTTGGATGACTAGTTTTAAACAGATCATTTATTTTTAAGGGACTAAAATTAAGAGATATATTTCACACAGCAGTAGTTTCCCATAACTGTCCATTCAAAGCTCTTCATCTTTGACATGAAGGGAACACCAGATGATGATAAGGATGTTTATTCCTCCATTCTTTATCTTTCTAAGGAGTGCTAGTGTGGTAGGGATAACACGAACCAATGGCAGTGGTAGCATTTGAATACAGAGGTTGCTGGAGTGAGATAAGCAAACTCACTTTTCATAGCCAGCCAGATACATCAGCTAGTAGGAACAGAAGCAATTTATTTCCCTTAGATAAAAAATATTCTGTTAAAAACACTTTTGAAAGATATTTATATGAAACTTCTCACTGACAGAATTCTAGTCAAAAGTCTATTCATCTTTTCCTAAGAGAGGTATCTAAGATAGTGCAGATGAATCACCTTCTGAAGGTACCTGTCTCTGAAGACTTCCATTCAGACATTCTTCTTTGTCAGTTTTGGGTGAGGTGAAGCTCTGGCAACTGCTGCTTTTAACCCTAGTAATGAAAGTGGCTGGTGACAAACTGGAGAGAAGAGAAAAAATAAAAGATATTTTGTTACAGGTGATATGGAAACACCAGGATAAACTAAGAAATAATTAACAAATAAACACTACCACCTGGGATAATATTCAAGAAAAGGTCCTAGGTTTTCAGCTTCCTGAAGAGATAAAGCTCACTGTTCTGGGAAATCTAACATTAAAGAGATTTAAATGCCAGAAGTAACGTGTCCTTGAAAAACTCCAGAAAAAAAAAAAAAAAAATCTAGAAATAGAACGCTTCAGATCTGATTCTCATTTACACTAAAAAAATTTTTATCACATTTACAGTGTGACCTGGCCTCATAGTAGGTGTAATTCCACCTACTTCCCACTAATTCCTAAAATGGTGTCAAGTTTTTTGAGGCCGGGATTTCCAACTTCCCAAATAAGAGGCTGGCTTGAAAATATGAATGAGCAAGTAGCTATGAAGAGAATATTAAGGCCCACAAGAGCTCCAATACATTCAGTAAATTGCAGTTGTCTTTTGTTATTACATGCAAACAAAACATTTATCAAACTACAATATTGTATATTCTGTTCAACAGAAGCTGTCATCATGTAAATGTTCCTCATACAGAAACAAATGATTGCAGGTTCCAAATATTTTTATAATTATCTTCAGGTACTGTAACATTCAACAATATCCAGGCTAATGTTTCAGTTCTGTGAATTTCTAGCCCATACAGCCTCAGAGACCATAAACAAACAATGGAACTTAGGAGAAGAAATTAATACTGCTTGGCACTGATTTATTACCTCCTATTTTTTACCTGTTTTCATAAGAAATCAATGTTTATGCAATTACGTTGAGTATGTGTGTAGGTATTAAATTAGTCTTACCAAAACAGTAAGGTTGAGAGTAATCTCATGTAACTTTTGGTTGCTGAAATCGTGGATATAACCATTTGAGCTCAATACCCCAGCTTCACTTCATAGGAAGCAGAGGGTAATGATCACTGTATATTGTGATTTATTCAATCTATTTTAGACTTTTTATGTAAACTATTTTAGACTTTTATTGTAGGAAGAGACAAATCTTCCTATAGAAATATCTATTTCTCTCCATTGACCAGATAGAGAAATGAGATGTATAAGAAGCCCAAGTGTGGACTAAAGCAAAAAATTTGGTTAAAGTGCAATCCTACCAGCTATGCTGACTAGGCTTAACTCATGCTAACTGCTACTTGATGTCACATTTTTTCTCTCACTCCTGTTCTTAACTGACCACCTTGATTTCTTAGAACCCTGATTGCTTATCATCAGGCTTCATTACCCTGGGTGGTCAGTGGATTATTTGTCTAAATAGGCCAGTTTCAAAAGTAAAATCTAACAGTTTTTTAGTAAGAGATTTGAGGGAAGAGAAACTGAGTTTTCCCCTTTATAAATATTTCTTGCAGATATTTATACAAAAAAGCTGGCAACGTAACTCGACAAGAAGATATAGAGGTAGTCCTGATAAAGCTTTCAAATGGTTTTCAGTCATGCCTGAAATACCTCTCTCAAAGGTATTTGACTAAATCTCACTATATTTTGGCTCAAAAGCTTACATTATGTGGTAGTAATAAGGGTGCATAGGAGCTCAGTTAAATTCTGCCTCACTGAAATGTAACAGTGCAGTAGGTCTTAGGAAGATATTCACAACAGGAGTTGTTTGCATTGGAATTGCCCCAGAATACAACCTTTTGCTAAAAGGCTATTTAACATTACTTATTTATTATCTAGCCTATGATATGAAATGTGTGATAGATTGGTAGAATAACAAAATAACAGGGAGGGATCCTTAGGTGTTTCTAAGGCAAAACTAGATGGCTTGCTGAAAAATATGTTTAGCTCTAGCTGTTTGAAGAAGATCTTTGGCCTGAGTGACAGCTGGGAGAAGGATTTGCATTCCCTGATCATGTTTTTTTGTAGGCCTGTGTAGAACTGTATTAAGCCAATGATTACAATCAAAGCTAATGGTTTTTGGACTTTGCATGATTATCTATAAGACTCAAGGAGGAATTTTTATCCTGCTGCCAAGTTTTCATTTTTTTCTTTCCTTTCCCCCCCCTTCAGAAGTTACAGAAATAAGTAGCAGCTGGATATTGGATAGGTCACTGATTTGGTACAGAGAATTCTCACAGGTGTCTGAGTGGTTTATTTTCTTACACACTTAGGTCATATTTGTTTTGAGATATGTATTTGAGAAAGAGTTTTGTCCTAGATTATTCTGAAAGGGCCTTTTGCTTTTCACTTTCTTCTTCAGTAGCAGATACATCTCTTTAGCTGACACATAATCAGTTTTCTTCTTTCATATGGATGTTGGACACCTTGATCTCTCTCTATACTGTCATACTTCTCAGGTTTTTGAGGACTGAAGAATTCATTACAATTAAATATGTAGGTTATTGAGATAAAGTATAATTTTCTGATAGGCTTGAAGTCAGATTAGGTGACCTAATGGTTCCCCTTGCCTTTGTTTCCTGTGAAACCATAGACTATTCAGAATGTCTGCATATTAGGAATGGATGAATTTCATCAATGCTTAAATTTGGTGGGGAACAATGGTTAATCAGATCTACTGATCTGCAGTAAAGCAATCCAGATACTTCAAAATTGTGCTACTAAACCAGACAGGGACTGAATTACACCAAATGTTGTAAATGAAGAAATTTCTTTTGACTTCAGTACATTTTGGACCACCTCCCAGGTCTTAAAACACACAGTGCGATTGCATTATCACAATCTTTCAAATAAGTAAAGTTGTTTAATGATGCCATCTTTGTTCCACATTGCAATTTCTGCTAGTGAACTAGTCGGGAAGAGAAAACCAATTAGAAAAGCTTCTTACTTGATGTCGTCTCAAGGTCTTGTTTATTTCTACTGCAATTTGTTATTTCTAAGTTAGTTAGAGGAGTCAAAAATCTAACCAATAGTGCAGCAGGTTCTTGCATTTGGTGTTCCATTTCATTCAAGATACACTATATTCCTCAGCCTTTTTTTTTTTTTTTTCATTTTATAAAAAAGGTTTTAACTACACATATTCAAAACATTACTGGAGTAATTTTCTAAATTAATAAATTGTCTTTTCTTCCTCATTGACTCTCAAATCTGAATTTATCTGTGCATTTTCCTGTTCTTTGTTTCAGTGACCTCTTTCACCTTATCGTACTCGCCATAATTGTTTGACTTATCTGTCAGTGAGAACTCTTCTTTATCTCAACCATAATTACTTCACTGAGCATTAAAGTGAAAAGACCACTTTCTTCTTGTTGTTTAGCTTTTCCAGATGTCAAGTTATTTACAAAGCCTTTGGATTAGTAATGTTATGACGAGAATTTTGGTAAATTATATGTGAGAGAATTAAGCCCATTATAATCTCTAATTCTCATTTGTCCTGAAACATTGTTTTCTCTTCGCAGTTTCCTAAGCATTGCAGTAGCAGTTTATTACTGTTTCAAAGTGTTCTGCCTATGACATTCTGCTTAATGATAGCAGGATATGTGACCCAACCAATGATACATTTTTTTTCTGACAAGCTACTAGAATTTCAAATGTTTTGATCTCTTTCTTTTTTAAAGGCATGAAACTAATATGAATGTGGCTGTTCATTCTATCACTCTTAACAGGACTTAAGTCTTTGATTCCTTCCAGTAATAAATAAAAATGGTTTCTTTGACAATACTCCTCTGAGAAGTGTCTGAAATTTACTCAGTTGAGTCAGTTTTATGAATTTATCTTTAGTCAGTGAAATAAAATCCTGAACTGTGGTCTCATATGTGTTAATTTTGGATGCTAATTGCTGTCAGTTGCAAAGCTAAAAAGATATTGAAAAATCAGATATAGGTGATTTTAGACACTAGATTTATCCCACTTAATTTTAAGCATCTTCTAGACATGTCTGTCTTATCTGACTTCTGAGGAAGAGTAGCTGACACCTTAAGCAGACTTGAGGTGAGCCAAATTGCTCTCAGGGGAAGTTGCCTTATAGTGACCTTAAACGGAGCCTACAGCAAAAAGTATCCCACCTCCCCAGCTCTGCTGTATGCCTTCATGTAGGTGGGATGAGTTTGGGCCTATGTGTACAGCATAGCAAAGTCCTTACCTAGTGGCTCTCCTTCCTCTATAATTGATTGATTACAAGATTGCTTTCTGTAAAGAGTCTCTTTTGCCCTTCTTCCCCCACATAACTATTTGTGTCTGACATAGCCAAGCAGCTATAGGACCTGAAATAGTAGCATTGCGAAAACAGTTCCTCCAAATTTCTTCTTCCCAGATGGGTACCATTTACATTGTTTTCCTGCTTGAGAAGATACAAATCTATAACTGAGAAAATTTATTTATTATTTACTATTTATCTGGGATTATGAGAAAGATCCTAGGAATTTATTAATCCACTCATGTGAGTACTCATGTCTAGACCACTGAAGTAGGTAAAAATTACAATTTATTTTTTTTTAAATAATTTCATCTTACTTTTATTTGGCTTATTTATATACAATTCAGTTATAAACAGCTAACCCGAATTACATGGTTTTCCACTAATTTCAGTTTTTGTCCCAGTGCCGCAAGAGATTTTTAGTAGAGCCTTTAAACATAACTTGAGCCTTAAATTCTGGCTCTTAGAATGCTAAAAGAATCCTGGTGTACTGTAAACATTAGTTATGCTCACTGAATTTTATGAAACTAAACACTGTAATGTGCTTGTGCATAAGATACATGTCTTTGGCATTTCTTTGATGACCAAAGAAGTCACCACCGTAAGATATTATAACCTGGCAGTGGGTGACTGCCAGATGCAACTCCAGAAAATTTGGTATGTTATTTGCAATAATTAACATGAGTGCCATTGTTTTCTAGTAAAATAGAACCAGAGAATCACAGGATACTTTTGACAGGAACACAAGGACTATCTGTAAATAACTGTGGCTAAAGATCTTGGTAGTCTAGAAGCAGTGCAATAGCTTACACAATCTTGTAAGTATCTCACAGCATTTACTGCTT